ACAGTCAGGGGAGACCCTACACCCTAAGCTGCGGACTATGTAAACCTTGCGGTTTAGCATGTATCCGAGCAGTCCTTTGCTGGGTGCTCGGCTCGTCAATTGTATGGTCGCATGCAACTGAGGGGACTCTGAAGGTTAAAGTCGGAATGATATCAGGACTCAACCTAGGACACCCCTAGGGGAAGTTTTCTGGAGTGATTTGAAAGAACATCTTTTTTTGTGATTTTGTAAAGCCATTTGCTCCTATAGGACAACATCTTGAGGAGTTGTGTCGTTATTCATTAGGCGTAAAGTGAACGGCTTAGGAACACTCCACAAACTTGAGTGAGGAAGTCGCGGGTTGAAATATTCGGGCAGAATCTTGCCGCTGGGAGATTAGGTTTAGTATGACGGCTTAGGATCTTGCCGGCCGATACGAGATCAAGCGAGCTGTTAAGTACATCCATACAACTGTCTGGTTACAATAGAAATTCGAATTTAAATCATGATAGAGATCCAACTACTGCCAGAGATCTTCTTTAAAAACACGACACACGTTATAGAAGACAGTTGACAGGTGGGATTGCCTGCCTGCGATAATGATGGAACCAGAATGTATGGACAAATTACCAGAGATACGCACGAGTAATGGAAACTCACTATCTGAGAGCCTTCTTGTGTGCAACCTAGCTCATCGTCGGCAACCTCACGCAACTCATGAAATGCAACAGCATTGTTTGGACAGTATCATGGACATCAACAAAGGACAAGCTCTATATCTTTTTGGGGAGTGACAGTTTTAGCCCAACGGGACAAATGTACACAGCATACATCAGCGCTAGATATCTTGGAGTAGCTGCGCGACTCATAGTTCATCAGTCCTGTAAGCAGTTCGTAACAGCAATAACGTTCTATGAACGTTATATGCCGACTGCCTAGACAGGTATAGGATTTGTTTCGATGTCGTAGCTTGCTATGGTAGTTGTATTCCGTCAGTTATCAAATTGTCATATTCCACCATGCCCGCTCGTGAGGTCCTCAAGTATCAGTCTGAGCTCATTCAGACTGCCAACGCCATCTGCACTCCCGGTAAGGGAATCTTGGCTGCTGATGAGTCCACTGGTACCATCAAGAAGCGTTTCGATGCTGCTGGTATCGAGAACACTGAGGAGCACCGTGCTGCCTACAGATCTCTTCTTTTCACTGCCCCTGATGCTGGCAAGTACATATCTGGCTCCATTTTATTCGAGGAAACTCTTTTCCAGAAGAATGCTGAAGGTATCCCGATGGTCGACTTGCTTAAGAAGCAGGGCATTATTCCCGGCATCAAGGTTGATAAGGGACTTGTCCAGCTCGCTGGTACCGATGGTGAGACTGCCACTCAGGGACTTGATGGTCTTGCTGAGCGTTGCCAGAAGTATTACGAACAGGGTGCTCGCTTTGCCAAGTGGAGAGCTGTTCTGAAGATTGACGAAGCTAAGCAGATGCCTTCTCAGCTTTCCATCGTGGAGACTGCACACACTCTTGCTCGTTATGCGACCATCTGCCAGGCCAATGGTCTTGTTCCCATTGTCGAGCCCGAGATCTTGACGGACGGTGCTCACACCATCGAGACTTCTGCCTATGTTACTGAGAGAGTTCTATCTGCTGTTTTCAAGGCCTTGAACGACCAGCATGTTCTTCTTGAGGGTTGCCTCCTCAAGCCTAATATGGTTACTGCTGGCGCCGACTGCCCTGTGCGCCCTACCGCCCAGAAGATTGCTGAGTTGACTGTCCGCACTCTCGCCCGCACTGTCCCTCCGGCTCTCGTTGGTGTCGTCTTCCTTTCTGGTGGTCAGAG